CCGCCATGCTTCGTCATGCTCTGCAGAATTTATTTGTAAGCATTTCAAAGTTTTTCTTAAACGCTTTTGTTTCAAGGTTCCGAAGGTAAAGGAAGATGAACCAAGGCAAGTACTTTTCGTATTACCGAAAAAACTAACACTGACTTAATACTTAAATGCAATATTCTTAAAATCAATTTCAAATGTTTAAAAAAAATCCTTATTGAACGAGGTTTCACAATCCTGTAATATTCTTAAAGTAATATTACGATTCTAACATTAGGAAACCGAAAAGGTGAGGGAAAAAAAACTACTTTGGGCGGCGATAGATGGCATCTGGGAAGAGGATGGGGCGGACCGGACCGAAAAGCAAGCCCAGACCAAAGAAATTACAAAACTAACTAGTAAGAGAGTGTCTGTGCCGTCATGTAACACCACTATTATAAGTCGTTTTCAAACACATTTATCATCAAGACAAGAATATTTTTGATTCAAGACGTAGAAAATATATGAAAATTACATAAAATGAAACTGTTACGAGAGTCTGCTGTTATAAATGTGTACTGATATCAGTGTTGTAACCAGACCTGGTACTGCAAATGTGCTTACAGATCCCGCCAACCCGTTTAGTACGTCGTGCTGCCCCCAGGAGGTGCTTTTCCAGTCGTTCCAAGGAGATTGTGCTTGTAAGCCCTGTGCCGCCTTCAAGGTAGTGCTATGTTCGTAAATATAGGATGCAACGTTTAGTTTTACTGGTAAAATAGTAGGTTTATGTGGTTCTTGAAATCAGTGAGTTGCAGTTTACGTTCACTTACGATTACGTTTACTTACGTTTCGCATAGTGATTAAAATGTTTTCATTTGGTCATTAGTAACGTTTTATATGGCTGAAAAGATGTAAACGGGTTTTTATTGCACAAATTACCAAATGTAAAAGAATCAGTTTTTAGTTTTGATTTCTTGTGATGAGGAGGTGTAAGTCACGAAGTGTACCTCTGGTGTTATGATTTATTATGTAAATATTTATCTTTTTTATCATTAAGTGTAGCTTTTATTCTGCAGGTCTAATCACTGTTTTTAGTGGAATTGTACATTTACATTTGCCTTTCAAAAGTATAAAATTTAATTTATTATATAAAGGAAAAAATAAAGTATGATACTAATAATGAACATAGGTTTATTAGGAAGCACAAAAGTCAAAAGTTTTGTTTATGTTTTGAAATTTGAATTAGTCCCTGACTTCCAGGTCACATAACTCGGTTCGCTAGTAACCAGTTGTCTTCCATTAATAGTGTAGGAGATGCCACACGACAGGTGATGCCTACATACATGGATCAGAGCGGAATTCAGGGGATTGTTTCCTTTTGAGGTGAATAAAGGGCAATATACAGTTCTAAATTAGTTGAAGTTTAATCTTGCTGTATACAAGTGAATGAAGTGAGTTGGTAGTAAATGTACACGTAGGCTTCCGCGGCTCGAGTCCATTACTTGAGTGACGCCGCGTCGTTGGCAGATAGGCCGACGTTTCGCCTGTCATGTCGCAGGCTTCTTCAGGGTACTGACAAGTAAAAGCTCCGCCTCCGGTGTTATATCTTATTCAGCTAGTGGTCGGGCAACGCAAGTGCCCGTGATTGGCGGAGAGGCCCCTCTGATTGGCTCGCGATCTGGCCAACCCGGGCCTCGCACCCGCCGTCCTAGAATCGGACGGAGAGGAACTGTCCCGCGCCGTCAAGCATCGGTGAAGAATATACTTCCAGGCGTGGCTTAGATTAAGGCCTGCATCCGCGTTGATGTTTTGCGGCCGTCTACTGATTTCTATTGCCTCCTATCGATACTGGCCTAGACGCGTAAAGGAGGGCGACCGCGGCGTCACCCGGACAGCCTAGAAGTAATGAGTTGGTAGTAAGCCGGAGGACCAACGAAAGTTTGTACAGATTGTAGATTTTCATCTTCCTTGTAGTTTTGGTTCACTCTACTTACAATTTTGTTGTGCTGCCACCATCAACTCAAATCAGACGGCTGAGTGTGTGTGTGGGATGACGGTTGAGATTGGCTCCAGACAATTTGGCTAGCAGCCTTGGATGTCACAACGGGCAGCTGCCAGGTTGTGTAGTCTCGTAGATGGCGCCAGATGACGGCTGATATCCGTGAGTGGCCCGGTAGCCGCGCTGGTTGATTGACGGCGAAATGGTAGGCGACTCGTTTGCATTCTGTCTGCCTGGAGCGAGTTTTGATGCACTCTTCCGTTGCAGTTGACAGATGGCAGCAATACCCGTGTACGTCTTAGTGGAGCATAGTTGTAGGCTGATTTGCAAGGTTTGTAAATGAGTTGCATTTTGCGCCTGTCCGTCTGTTAGTTCTGCTAGTAGTTGTGGATTAACAGCGATCATTAGTCGTGGTAGTTTGAGTATTGACTAGTTGTGTGGGTGATCTGGGCTGTCCGGGTGTCGCCGCGTCGAAGGCTGTGTTGCCGACGTTTCGACCATCCTATCGTGGTCTACCTCAGGGATGGTATGCGCCGTGATGGTCAGCGCTCGTTTGTTTCTTCATGTCTGGGCCGAGTACTATTGGCTGAAGCAGCGGCCAATGGGATGCCGCCAGTTAGCAGCGGGGGGGGGGATCGGGTTTCGCGTGATCGGACGGCACGGAACGGTCCGAGCGGGATTGGCCCGCATGTCGCGGCCTGGGCCCAGATCACCCACATGACTCTGACCGCGGAAGCCTACGACTTCATATTGACTAGTTACTTTAGTAGTAGTTGATTAGTAGTTTGAGTTGTTCTCATTGTAGTCTCACAGTTGTACTTTTCCGAGAAGATCTTACAGTAGGTGTTGTGTAGGAGCGAAGTTGCCGTATTTCTGTAGCGAATGTTCTCAAGACGAAGGAGGGGAGGGTCACGTGAAAGTAGCAGCTAGCGTGTAGTATGCTGGTGTCCGCGGTTGTAGCTCGCTATTTGTCGGCGCCTTTGGGCCCAGGAAGAGGGGCGTCACAGGGCATTTTTTTATACTTCTGCGTGACAATTTTTGATTAGAGAGCATTTTTTCAAATCAACTTTTGAATGTTTATTGTGGCGCAGCTATTTGCAATACCCAAGTAGTTAATTAGACAAAATGTGCTTGAAATTGTTTTAAGAGTTTATTTTCGACGTTTCCTCCCATGTCTCGCTATAATGGAACAAGATGTATTAATTTTACTTTCTCGCACTTATTAATGTAAGAGGAGAAAGTATTATACCGGCAAATTTTCGATATAAAAACTCATGTTCTCTGGTAAAGAAAAAGTGTGTAAATTCAGTTGCTAAATGTAGAAAAAAATTCCTCTGACACGTGGTGTAGCCAGAATCCATGTTTTGTGCGTCCTTCACACCGAAAAATCGATTAACGGCAAAACGTCTGTATGCATTACCGTCCGTATGTCTGACCGTCTGTGCACAACGCTAACGCAAAAAACGTTCGGCCGATTTTCTCTAAAAAATTATATTCTCCTAACGTCCTTCCTGATGTCGCGGACCCTGTATTTTGAAATAGATATTTGAATTTTGAGGGGTACTTTACACGAGACCCCAAGGACATTTTCAAAATCTTTCCTTCCTCTTCATTATCCTGTCATCATCCCTTACACACAGGCTAACATGCACTACACATACTTATGCCGGGAGACCGATCAGGAGCTTAGAACTTGTCCGGGCTGGGGCGGTTCCCTCATGGTGGCAAATACCTTGTTGGGGAAAACCTCGCTTGGCGACGATATGTTAGCGCCGGATCTCGGCCTTCTGCGGGGGAAAGACCATCGCAATCTCCCGAGCAAACGTTTGCACTACACTTACGCGACTAATGACCCTAGTTGTGGACGTGCCCGGAATCACTAACAATCAGTCAATCTATTAATTAAGAACAATGGTTTATTTTCAATATAATCGTACAAATCGCAAAAAATCTGGCTGCATACACAGTATATACACCACCTTATATACACATTATTATACCACCTTCGTCTGTTTTTTAGTGCATCAGAAGAGCACAACAATATCCGATGACGCGCCGACTGTTTCTTGTTTCAGCAACTCCAACTCATCACGTCGTGCGTACATTGAGAAAGATCAGTTATGTAGTTTCAAAAACTTCTCCAGAGTGGCATCTATTCTTATGATGTCGGCTATATATCTTACGTTTATCTTATCTCTGTGATTATTGCAGATGCCTTTTGCCATGTCGCACGTGCATTAAGAAAGTTCACTTGTTTGAGTTCGAGATGATTTTCAGAGCAACACCATATTTCCTGGGTGATCCTATGATTGTCTTAACACTACATGATCATTACAGATGAGTAGGGGTCGAATTTAAATGATATGGTATTTTTTCTTTTGACTTTCGAACAATGTTGTTTAGAATATAAATTAATTTTATATTAAGACAAAACGAAATGTCTAACTCTTATACGTCATTGTTTTGCATTTTTCGTCGATTTCTACTATTAAGTCATTTTTTACCGTTTTAGGTCATTTTTAAAGATTTTTTGCTTATTTAATTGATTTTAATATATTGATGGTAATGCTTCAGACAATATTTACGACGTGCAACAAATGTTCACCGCAGAATTCCGGAGAAATATATACGATTTCTTCGCTCATACATATTGCAATGTAGCCGTTGTAAGTACTACGTAATCTATTCTGCAACGCCTATCGACAATTGTCAATACTGCCGATTTCGTGATAAATAAAGATAGAGATTTTCTTTAAAATATCAGACATAACAGTCTAAACCACAAGTTTCCAAGCTGAGTTCATTTGAACAAAAGAAAGAAGCCTCGATTACATAGCCATCAGTTTGAGTTATCGAGCTAGAGTAGTTTTGAGCATTTTTTTGTCATATTTCTTTGCTTTTAGGGCATTTTAAAACATTTTAAGAACATTTTATTGATCATTTTGGGTAATGTTGTAGGACATCAAAATCCTCCCGCTAGTTTTAGCAATGTTGTCGCTCGTTCATCCAGAAATATCTTTGGTGCAGGTTTGATGAGATGATCGAGAAAGCGACGCCCTCTTTCCTGGGCGACGAAAGTCTCTCCCGCTGCTTTCCGCCCTGCACCACAGGCGCGAGGGCCAGGTCGTTCGAGGCCACCGCGAGGAGGTACTTGGGTAGCGGGCTGGGCGTCCTAGCTCTGGATACGTCAGACAATGTCGTCGGCGGCCACCTTGCTGGTCTACTGCGTCGCGAGGACGTAATCGGAGTGGACATTGACACAGTAGGTGAGTTTCATCACAGTAGGTGAGTTTCATCACAGTAGGTGGGTTTCATCACAATAGGTGGGTTTCATCACAGTGTTTGTGATCATAGCCGCAATTTTGTATCTAGACGTCAAAGTCTTAACCAGGGCCCTGCAGCTCTTCATCAAAACCGGGGACAAAGCTCGAGGGTACTACTCTAGGAGGCGCTAGTGTCGCCAGGTGCAGCTGCAGGTTAGGCTAGCCAACTTTCCCACGTTCAAATTGGCTGATTTTTGAGAAATACGAAAAGTGTCTCCTAAATGTTCAAATATTCATAATCTGTACTATATAAGAAAGGGCGAACATAGACGATGTCTTTCGTAACATTGTAGAACTGCTTGCGACTCGCGAACTCACGCAGCAGCCACGCACATTTAAAGTATCGTTGGCAGCAGTTCGTGTTTTAGTTTCAGTAAAAAGGTGATGCAGCAGAGTGTGCCACCCTAATGGTTTCCACCACGTGATATTGGACTTAGAAGGCTCTCGTCCCTTTACCCTCTATTACTCGGACAACTTTTCTTGAACGATGGCCTTGCTTCCCCATCTCTGGCACAATAAACAGTTGAAGACAAAAGCTTGCAGCGAGCACTGATGACAACATTCCAAACACATCATCACTGGCGCAAAATAAAAACTATTTTCTGTTAAAGACGAGAACTTCTGTTCGTATTTTTCTTCAAAAAATCGAAAGAAATGACCGAAGCAGGTGACGATACATCACCGGAGATACTTCGAACTCCTGAAAAAGTTAGAACGCAAATGATTGAAAAAGTTAGTAAGGTATGACTGATTCTCCAGAGACTGGCATTGCTTCATAAAAGCTAGTGGCTGATTACGAAACTAATACCCCCAGTCTACCCGCATTTCTTCAATCCATCGTTCAAGAAAAGTAGCGCGAGTAGTAACTGCTACGGTGCGGCCGACTGTAAGTCACACGTGTAGCGTCAAGCTTTTCGCTGCGGGCCCCGCTGTAGTCTAAGCACGCTCGTACTTAGATATTGCGCAAGACGTCTCAGTTATTCGTAATTCCTAGCAATAGCCGAAAGCGCATCTGCACGATTAAACACATCCAGAGGCTACCGGAACGAGGCGATCCGCGTATGATCTCATCCAGAGGCACCCAGCGACAACCCGACTGAGTGTAATAACTCGTCTAGAGCAGTCAAAGGGTTAATAGTTAGCGGAAGGCCAACTGGAATCAAAAACTAGTGTACGTAACGTTTTGATAACCTGACTTTTCAAATTTACTGTCCAAATCATCGCTATAAAAGTGGAGAATATTGCCATAGAACACTTACGCATGCGTACACGTATATAGACATGCAAAACCTTACATGTGCATTGCTCACGCATTCATCGTACACGGACATGCAGACTCGATTGTTCAACACCCACACCCACGCTGACACATACATTGACACGTACAACCATACATGGCACGCATTTATTGTACACGAACAGGCCAACATTGAATGTGCACAGACGATCCCACACACCTACGCAGACATACATTGACACGTACAGCAACATATGGCACAAACTAATTGTACATGAACAGGCCAATATTAAATGTGCACAGACGGTCACATACACCTATGCTGCCACATACACATGTGTCGTATTTTTACGCTTAAAACTACTTTATCCTCAGCTGAGTTTGGGCCTTTGGTTTTCTCAGGTGCAGAGATAGAAGATCTTCAAGAAAAACACATCTCGCGCTTCTTAACTTCCGTCCACCAGCGTTTGGACTTGTTCTCTGTTCTGGGAGTTGATGAAATCGTAGACATGGCCTTGTTGTTTGTGGAGAAACCTCACCGGCGACAAGGTAAGAAGATTGAATACCGTTGAAATTTTAAGATTGGTTCATTAGTGCTTCCGGACACGTCAACTGGTAAGGAAATAGGACCGTAAGTGTAGTGTATGTTTTATCGCGGACGATGGAGGTCAATCTTCCACTCTGAATGGTGAGACCCGCCCCGACTTACCTTTCGGTATGCGGAGTTAACCCCAAATAGGTATCCCTATGTAGTTAGTGTCTACCTCCCCCCATTGGCGAGACTCGAACCATAGGCCTTCCCGGTCAGAGGAACTGCCATGACATCAGTTGCTGCCCGGAGCCACATCCGCCGGTTACGGGAGCGAGGTGAGGGGGTCGAATAACATTACGATTTCACAATTCAGCATCAACTTCTATTTATTTTTATAGATTTTTTAATTAATAAATTAATTTATTATTACGTAAATAAGTAAATAAATCAATAAATCAATAAATCAATAAATCAATAAATCAATAAATCAATAAATCAATAAATCAATAAATACATAAATCAATAAATAAATAAATAAATAAATAAATAAATAAATAATCGCTAGCTGTATGGGCGCGCATCCTTAACTCGCCAAAAACGGGATGCGCTGCGCTACTACATTGATACGTATACTGTGATATTACTTCATAGTTTAGCACCAGCTCCTCGTAAACAACATAGTTATATATCGCAAACGTGATGAAGACGAATGTAAATTACCTCTGCAGAGGTAGAAGTTGCTTTAAAAGCCATGTAATATCTGGCCAAGACGTTCTGCCATCGGAAAATACTTGCCTAGATCAATTTTAAAACACTATATTTTTTTATTTTCTGCTTTTTTTAATTTTTGGAAAATTAAATACCTATATCCCTATACAGTATTTGAGTAACTGCGAGTGTGCGTGAGTCCATGTGTGTGCGTGTACGGATCCGTCACTCATGATCAGACCACTTCCCTGAATCGAGACATCATTCGACGCGACTTGATCACCTGAGGGGGAACTCATAATTTGTTTTCGGATCCGGCGATAAGATTAAAAGAAATTTCCGAAAACGTCTTTTTGCGTGTTTTCGCCCTGCGATCTTAAAGATTATGCCGGGAATTAAACCAACGCCTTCTAAATCGATCTATGTAGGTGGCGTTGATTATGCTCTAGTACCCAAAGGTGTTTTTTGGTTCATAAGCCACTTCTTTCTCGACATGGGCAAAACTGATTTTGCCATCTTTAAGTAAACAAGATCTTTAAGTAAACAAGTAAATTACCTCATGAATTACACGCCAGTTTTCCTTTTCAGTTTCGTCCGTACTACCAAATTTTTAAAAAAATTATTTGTAAAACCTTAAAAACTGTAATGCCTTGGAACTTATTAAATTTGAAGAATTTCAAGTGAATACGGAGAAAACAAAGCTGTTAGTAAAGTTAAAGAATGAATGAATGTTCTTACGTTCGACTTCTCACTTTTACGTTTTTCAGTGTGCAATTGACGATTTTGAAACCCAGAACTTTTTATAATAAAACTTAACTAATACCTTATTCATATAAACATATAAAACTCGCATTTTGATATTTATAGAAATTCGATTGTAAACGATTCAAAGAGCAATTGCAGATGTAGAAATAAACACAAATTAGACTGAGTTTTGTAGAGTTTATATCTCTTCAAAAAACTAGGGGAGAAAAATAAAGTATTAAGCAAAGTCGGGAAAGGATCAAATGTGATGGTCCAAGATTTTGCCACAGAGTTTTAAAAATTAATTGAAAATGATCAGGATTAGAGAATAATGCAGAATAACCCTTTACAGGTGATTTGTTATGTGCATTTTTGTGCATAGTAGTGAAAACATGTAGCTGTACTAAATTTCACTAAACGAACAATTCACATCAACAATGGCTGCAAGTATTTTTTACACTGATTATAATTTTGAAATTGCGATATTACCTGTTCATATCCCAAATGGACGTAACATACAAGGCCTTTTGTTGTTCGAATTTTTTGACCGGGAGAGTTATATTATCATCTACTACGATTCACTTGTAAGTCGAACGTCAGATTATAGAAAAACATATCTGAACAAAGGTAGGCATGAAAGAAAAGATCTATGAAAAAAATTTCAACAATTAAAAATTATTATAAAAGAATTTACAACGTCGGCGATACCACGTTCAGCTAGAATGTACGTATGTTGCTTTCTTTATTACAATAAATTCTAGTCCCTATTTATGAGTTTTGAAACGTGCTGAACAAGCTGGTGAACTTTAAGTCAATACCAGTATCCAGCGTGAAGTGTTGCGTGCTGGAGATTGCCGTGGCTGCGGCGGTGTATCGTTGGTGACAATACCTGTGTGGAAAACTTCTAAAATGTCGCGTTGGTTGGATCTCACATTCTATCGGCACCAGAACCCTGCCATTCTCTTCAGCATGCACTACACTTACGGTGTTGACGATCTTAGTACTTGACGTTGTCAGAAATACGAAATAATCAATCAACAATTTTGTCCCCAGGTCTTGGATCACGCATCGTGAAGGCCAGTCACATATTCGCAGCGCAGCAGGGCTACCTGGCGGCGAAAGGTGACACTACGTCTCTGGCATCTACCACGCTCGTCATGTCTGTGGGGCGAACCCACATTTACTCCGTGCCTTTCGCAGAATACACGTCCCAAGGAGAAATCGTCTTCGCAAAAGCACGGCCTCCCAATGAAATCTTGACAGTATCCGCTTGCCGCTTGCAAAACACGGAGCCTTATATCACGCCGTTGACCGATCGTGAGGTAAATCAAGCTCGCTCGAATTACTTACATTTGAGACAGTTCAATCAATCGTCGTCGTTGGAAAGAAATAAATAGAAAGAAAGAAAGAAAGAAAGAAAGAAAGAAAGAAAGAAAGAAAGAAAGAAAGAAAGAAAGAAAAAGGTAAAAAAATAATAAACAAACGATAGGTAAAATTATATAATTGTAATTATAAAATTATTAAATTGGAATTAAGTAAAAGTTAAAATTAAATGTAGATACGAAAAGAAAATAATGGTGATTATTTCATATTCCGAATTTTATTATAGTCAGTACAGTCTAGTGTAAAATGTCTAACTTAACCCTCAACAGCGGTCTCTCGGGCCCTACAGCTATTTTCTTTTTTTTAATTTGACTACACTAGTTGGCAGATGGCAGATTGGCAGATGATATTGCAATTTTTGCCACATCACACAATAAACTACAACAAATGATACAAGACATCCATAGAAAATGTAAGAAGGTAGAGCTTCAACTAAATTATAACATGACTTATAACAAGAGACAGCAGGTAGCCAATGGACAAGGTTGGATCAAGATAGGACGAAGTGGAAGCAAAAAATTGTGAATACGTTTAACCAGACAAATTTAATAAGGACTCATTTTATCTGTAAATAACATCCTGAATTTACATTGTTACTAGACTCTGAGATTTTAAAATAGTATTGTTGGAATTTTAATTGTAAACAAATGCACAATAAAAACTTAAAACCTAACTGCAAGGCAAGCGTTGTAGAATTTCACTACCCCTATAAGGAGGCCAATTACCCATCACGGGACATTGAATGGCTAAAAATAAAAAATAAAAATAAATAAAAAATTAAAAGAAAATAAAGAATAAAAATAAATAGCACTGGTTATGTTTTTACTTTGAACGCCTAGCTACGCATCTTTAGAGAATATCTATTTGATGCGATAACATCATTAAGTCATTTTTCTTACTCATTGTTCTAAATTTGCGAAGAAGACCTCAGAGACCTGTATTATTGTAAATGTAAGTATATTTTTTTTACGTACTACCTTTGGTATGTTCTGTATTAGAGTAAAACGTTTTCTCTTGTGTTTCAAATATTTAATTCTCTTAGAACACATCCGAGGTTGTGTTATGTTTATTTGATTTTTCATTTAGTTTAGCAGAAAATGTTGAAAGAGAATATGCCTATAAGCGTTTCATTAAGGATATCGAAGTATTATGGGGTATCTAATTAAGTATTACGGATATAAAATTATATTGAACTTAAATCTCATATCGATATATTTTTTAGTTTACTTAAATCGGTTCATACGGATACCCAGAAAACAATTATTTTTACGTGACATACGCTTGACAAATCGAATAATAGTTGCAAAAGTAAAAGTATGTTTCGAAGTTGCAAATTGGATATGCACGTGTAGACTTGATCGATATACTTATACGTACTCACACACACACACACACACACACACACACACACAGGGGGCAGGATCTTTTGGGGTATGAGAAAGATTAATGTCAAGACACAGAATCTGGTAAAACAGTGCGTATATTTTCTCCAGAATATGACTACGGATAACAGGCACTGATCGAAATACAAAGACGAGATAGAAAATAAAACACAAATATATCACAAAACGAAATTACCCTTTGAACACTCTGAAAATTTACATGATTTGTCAACTTTGAATCGAACATCTCCTAATCAAATATCTTAATAATGCCCGCGCACAGTAACTACTGCTTGGCCAGCACCGTTTGAAAATAGTTAAATGTTAAATCTCTTGATTTGATTATTACAACACACACAGCAAATTATTACTATTTCTCCACAAATCTTTGATTCAAATAATCGCAACCAATTATCAAATGAATTATTCAAATACAATTATTCAGAGTCAAATGTTCTTGAAAATTTTACACCGAAATGATAAACAAATGTTTTACACTGCTATTTACATTACTTGTTCCCGTAAACATAACACAAGAAAGAACTGTGTTACTGGCTTACAAGGTTCTCTTTCCGTTATTTGCCGTCATCTAGTTCGTACAACAATCTATGTGATTACGCAAATGTAGAACTGCAGACTTTCCGCTGCAGCGTAAGAACTCGTGGCTCTGCCTGCTCTCAACTTCCGTTACAAAATAATTAAAGATGTTGTCATTGCCAACAATGTTTTTTAATTCAATAGCAGCTTTCGATGGCTTGGCCCATTGGATCGGGAACCAGGATCAATATTGTTTTTTTAATTCAATAGCAGCTTTCGATGGCTTAGCCATCATCATCAGTTTGTCTGATACAGAGAAGAAAAACAACCAAAAAACAAAAAGCATTAAAACGTGATTAACAACAAGATTATCGATAAAGGTTTACAATAATTTACAAATTTTTTTGGAAAATATATTTGACAAAGGGAGAAAGAAACAGTGGGGGGGTTAAGCCATTTAAAATCTAAAAGAATAAGCGAATGAAAATAGAATAGGACACGTAAAAATTATTTTTATACAGAAAAACATAGAAATGTAATGTGAGTTGAGAATGTAAATGCATTGGCCAAAGTTTACTCACCAAGAGGCCATACATTCAATACCACACCAGAACATTCGTATACCTGGGAAAATGAGCAAACCACTACCACACAAGACTGACTTTAGAAAACCTACACATTCATTTAAATAATAACTTATTAAATGAAAACATAACAATAGTCCTTCTCCTTTAGCTAAATTACTTATTAGACACCACTCCCCACACACATCCGCAGCTGGGGGGCACGGTGACAGCGCACGCTCCAGGCCATTGCCCTCCTCCACCCACGGCCCGGGTACTAAGCCCCTCGGCTCGCGCGACACTCGCGTAGTCGTTTTGTGGCTTCATGTCTAGCAGGTTGGGTGGGGAAGGAACGGCTTGCAATTTACATTTTCTAATGTTTTTTCTCGTCTAAAAATAATCTTTTAACGTGCCACTTTTCATTTTTCATTCGCCTTTTCTTTAGTAGTATTAATGGCTTACCCCCCCCACTGTTTCTTTCTCCAACCGTAGTTGTCAAATATATTTTCCAAAAAATTGTAAATTATTGTAAAACGCTTTATCTTTCATAATCCTTGTTTGTTATTCACGTTTTAAAATGTTTTGTTTTTTTTTTTTTTTGTGTTTTTCTTGGTTTGTTATTTTTTTCTTGTAAAGACAACTGATTATGTGGCTAAGCCAGTCGAAAGCATGCTGATTGCATTAAAAAACTT